TAAATCATTCTCCAAGAAATTTCGATACAGTGCACCTGTCAATCGATTGGGCAATCGAAATGGGCCAATTAAGTAATTGTCGATTATACCTGCCCACACATTAATAGAAAACCCATATTGGTGACTCCGAATTATAGTTTGATGAGGATTTTCATCACTCCAATGGTGCATGTTATGTAGGTTCAGAATACCATCACGACTAAAACTAGCTTCGTCAGTAAACAAAATTGATGAAATAATGTTTTCTCTTTGGTTTTGAAACCATTCGCAAAATTGTACACGAGGAACAAAGTCATGTTCCAATAGTGAATGAATTTTTTGGAAATGATATGGGCGAAGAAGTTGTTCTTTGAAAATTTGTCTAACTGATTCACGGTTAAGGTTTCGCACCGCTGAACTTGTTTTCCTGGTGCTTGTTCTCGGATTATTTTCTACCATTCGTAAAACAGTTTCTTCGTTTCGCACAGTGCGACGAGTTCTGGAAACCCCACTATTCAATTTTGGTTTTCTAAAACAGCCATCTTCTCCCAAACGCCTATGCACATCAATAAATGTTCGAACATTAGGAACTTGTCTTAAAGGATATCTTTCTCGATAGATACGTTGAGCTTCGTAAGAATTTGATCTAGCTTCGCCGTAACACATAATCATGTCCCTGTATTCTTCAAAAGTGTAGCGAACCATTTTTGAAAGCAATTTTGAATAATCAGTGAGAAAACCAATGAAAAACTTAATCAAGAACACAAAATACCTCTAACAATTATTATATTAGTTTGACAAGTGTCATTATGACACATTATTTAATTGTTATTTATCATTGTTTTTGCAAATGTTACTTTGGCGCTTTTTGAATAATTTGCGTGCATTGTCGGCTTTTGTACTGGAACCATTGCTTCTAGCGACTTGGACAAGGTATACCTTTCTTACGTATAAAGAAGGGATAACAAATTTTTTTCAGTCGAAAATGACATACAGTGTATAGCAAAAAAGTTAGGACCGATTCAATAGATATGGAACCCTGTATGTAGCGCCCTCTATCAGTAATCACAAAACTAAGATCATATTTGAACTTAGCATGATAAAAAAAAACCTGTATACCACATTTTATGCATTTCTTGCGTTTCTGGCTAAAGATTCAAAAAAGAAACCCAAACAAAAATAAAATTCAACACCCCGTATCTTTTAACCGAAGGCCTTGCAGACCCATGTTCATAGGAACTTTTTTTCTTATTTTAGTGTCCTCTATTGTGTGGCACTATGCAATGTACTTTTTTCTATGTCACCCTGTATATCTTATAAATTTTCAGTTTCATTTAGTATATTTTCAATATTAATATCAATTTCGTCGTCATCATTTTCATCAATGTCCTCTTCAGAAAAATCGGGCTTATAAGCTTTCTCACAATTTATTCCCATACATTCTTTAATACATTTACAGGCTATTTTTTCAAGTAAATTTTCAGATGCAGGAGATTTATTATTAAAAATGGGAACTAACCGCCCATTTATGGAATTTTTCCAACCCCAATCAAGGCGATTTAAAGTACAACCATTCCACTGGTGCATCTGAAAATATACTCTGAACCCATGATGTTTGAGAGCTTCAGTTGTTGAAGGCAATCGAGATAAGGTAAATTTTGCACTTGTTGAATACTTTTGAAATAATTTATATCGACAAGTTTTTAGGCTGTCAATTTTTTAACTATACATTTTAGTTACAATGCATTCAGATGCAGCAGTGATATCCTTAACAGTAGCATTTTCAAGTAAAAATACATCGAGGTAATTTTTTAATTTTGAAACATTCTTATTTACAAAATTGAAACATTTTTTTGTAATTGTAATTTTTTAATTAAAAGTGCAAAAATAATTTAAAAAATTCGAAATTTTACAAGATAAATATGATTAATTGTTGTTTAAATGAATAAATAATAATATTCAATCACCTAGAAACGTACTTTTAACTTTCACATTCACAAAAATAAATTTATTAGACAAAATAATACCGAAAGTAATAAAAAATTTGTAAAAATAAGAAAAAGTATCGGTGGTTAAATTGACATATTATCTCGGTTGATTTTAATTGTACAAACTTCTACCAGGCACCATTTTAAAGATCTTGAAACCAGCTTTCATTTGAATATGGCATTACATATACCTGAATTAACTCAGAAAAAAGTTATAAGACGAAAATCGTCAAAAAAGGGCAAAAATTGGCCAAAAATCCAAAAAGTAGCCAACTTTGATCCAATGTATGTCGGTTCCTATTAGTCGTAGGTACTTCTATAAAGGCGTATTTTAAAGGAAAACACATTAACCTTTTTTTCTGTGAAGCAATGCCTATACCTAACTCCTCTCAAAAAAAAAGTTGTGGGCAAAAAACCAAAAAGAAAAAAAAAAGAATTTTTTCGGTTTTTTACGCGTTTTTTTGGGCATATATTTGTTAAAAATAAATTTTTTTGACTTTAAAAGGTCTTATTTCGATTGGAAATTCAATTTGCTACAATTTTTCTGTCGACAACTATTTAGAAAAAATTCATAGTTTTCGAGTAAAACTCCAAAAACTGAAAATACCACCTTTTTACTTCGTTCTCAAAAACGCACCCCTGTAAAAGGTAGCACTCCGCGGTTTTATCATTTTTTAGACCCAATTGAACATGTCAAACAATAAAATCTCTGTTACATTGTAGTTCCTTTGTACCCCCTTTTTTTTTGACATAGTCTATAGCCTAAACAACGATCATAGAAAAACTGTTGCATGCGACAAGTGCAGAACGCTTGTTTGTAACAAAAAAAGATCGGTTCAGCGCTTACTTTGTCCTGGTCCAAACTGGTGAAGGAGGACACAAAGTTGACCAAGATGGCGGTTTTGGATTTTTCCACGGACGTTTCCATTTTCACGAAAAGCTCCTCCAAGTGTTCCCTGACGTAAGAGGGCGACCCGTCCAGCAAAGCGACCTGTACGACCTCCCCGCTTTTCTCCAACTGAAGACCCATTTCCAGAGCTACAGCAGCTCCAAACGAATATCCGCACAGGAAGTAAGGCCCTTGGGGTTTCCTCTCCTTGATTCGTTTCACGTAATACCTCGCGTAGTCTGGAATACTGTCGAAATCGGCCTCTCTCGTACACTGGACCCCGTAAACCGTAGCTTTCAATTGTCCCGCTATAGTCCTCAGGACGTCAACGTGTCCCTGGATCGGATGCACGAGGAAGATCGTTCTCGACTCGTTCTCGGTTTGGTTCAGCGCAACGAGCGTTTCTTTGGAGAGCATGGCGGTGATGGTTCCGTGAACTTCCTCGCTCTTGCCGTTTTCTAGTGGAGCGAGGTTGTTGTTCTGGTCGGTCTCGGAGATTGCGATAAGTTGGTCGAAGGTGAGGTCCCGGATTTCGTCCGTACTCACTTCCAGTTGGTAGTTCCTGTAGAGGGTCTGCTTGATCTCGGCGACCATCAGCGAGTCCAGGCCCAGTTGGGCCAGCGTCAGTGTCTTGTCAACTAATCCTAAGAAATAAAATGATTTACTACCTATATTCAGACCTAGTATTTGTATTAGCTACAAACTAACCTATGTTTCTAATACCCAGGATGTGAGCGACCGCCTCGGCCGGGGTTTTAGTCGTTTCCTTTCTCTTCGTGTCCTCTTTAGTAGCTAATACCATACTCGAACCGACTACCGAGTCCTGTAGCATGAACCTCTCCAGAGCCTCGATGCAGGAACTTATATTTTGCGCCACCATGTGGTCCGATAACTGAAAACATTCTCCGTGATAACGGTAGTGGATGAAACACCATTACACCGCTTACCTTATTGATAATTTGGGTCTTCATCAGAGCTCCTACTTCTCCTATGGGTCCCCATTGTACGGCCAGAGCCGGGAGATTCTCCCTCCTACGTTTGTAGCATAGTTGTTCTAGAGCGGAGTTGGCCATGCCGTAGTTGGATTGTCCGAAGTTACCGCGTCCGCAGGCGGCTGAGGAAAAGACCACGAAGTGGTCCAGTTCCGGGCACTCCAATCTGGTCACTGCGTCCATGTTGAAACCCGACGCGATTTTCGGCTTGAATACAGCATCGAAGGTCTCCGCCGTCTGGTTTTCTATCAAACCGTCTTTTAACACCAGCGCCATGTTGAAAATCCCTAAAGTTTATTAATTATGTTAACATCCTGTACTTTTGTTATTACTCACATTACATAAATTGTAATGGCCAACAATTTCAGATCCGGTTTGATGAGTTCGGGGGTGCTCCCTTTAAATAAAATAATGACATTGTTGTAGCACATTTTTAAATTAAATGATCCAAAATTGTATTCCGATATTCTAACGATGGTTGCATCCGATCGCAGAGACAAATAAATAAAATACGTCACCTCCCACTGGTCCTAAATCCTTGGCACAATTCACCAGGTTCCTGGCACCTTCCAAGGCGGTAGTGTCGTCTGTGTTGATTTTCACCGTCACCCTGTTCCATTTCGACCACTTCTTCAGACAGTACGACTGGTAGCCGTTATGGATCTGCCTCCTGGAGTTCAATATAACCTTGGTGGCCCCCCTTCGTATTAACCATTCGGCCAGTTCGAGTCCCACGCCCCCCAGTCCGCCTACGAGGACGTAGGATTTGTTCGGGTCGAAGTACATCCTGGGAACGGCACTGATTGTCCTCACGATGGGCCTGGTTTCCTTCCTCAACTCTATCAGTATCTTTCCTTTGTGTTTTCCGGAAGATAATAACCTAAAGGCGTCCTCGATTTCGTCCTCCTTGAAGATCTGCCTGGGCAACGGCTTCACTACGCCCTTTTTTATGCCTGAGGACGAAAAGGTACATAAAGAACGAACCGCTAAGAACGATGGGAACGTATACCTTCGATTAACAAATCGCGTACGGCTTCTTTGATTCTAATGTTGCTGCTTTTTAAAACTTCGTCCAGATCGATGCCGTGGAAGCTGCAGTTCCTGTAAAAAATGTTAGAGTCGATCGCTGTTCTGTTCAAGAAGTCCACTTTTCCGATTTCCAAGAACCTTCCGCCGCTGCCTATACACTTCAGCGACTGTTGGAAAAGATCCCCCGCCAACGAGTTCAGCACTAGGTCCACCCCTTTACCCTTGGTCCTCTCCATGATTACTCGCCTAAACGAGGCGTTCCTGGAATTTCCTGCGAAACGTCAACAAAAAAAATGCATCGGTTGGGATCGTTTTTTCATGTTAGGTACCTATATTGGCGTCTTCTATTTGAGGGTATAGTTTCTTGAGGTAGTCTCTCTTCTCTTGGCTTCCAACCGTGGCGAATACGGTACAGCCCATACCGAGGGCTATAGCAATGGCGGCTATACCTACACCTCCCGAGCCGGCGTGGATCAAAATCGACTCACCTGGTTGCATCCCGCCTCTAACGATCATCGCCAAGTAACACTGAAAAATTTACAATCAGAAAATCGAAAAAAAAAATTTTTTATTCGACGTTTAAAAATGAAGGAAATCAACCCATAACTCCCGCTACAAGGGCGGCCCTGGCAGATGCCCGGATGCTCGGAAAATTTTGTAACGTAATGTCACGAACAGTTGTCGGCTGAAGCGAACAGCGTTGCCAAGTTCACATCATAATGTATGGTTCACATTTACTCTTAAATGTATTCAAGTAAATAAAGGAGCATGCTGCATTTTATTATAAATAATTTTAACAATTGTATTAACTTAGTGCAGAATGTTTTAACAAGCCTGACTTCTCGAAGTCAACTTTCGTTAAAAGAAAATAAATAAAACAGAGGTAGTTACCTGTTTGTAGGCACACCGTATTTTATCAAATAAAAAAAGTCGGCACACTACTAAATACACGAATATACAAAATTATTAACAATTTAAAGCGTTTATTCAAATCTACCACCTTCCATATCTCCCGCATTTTTCCAACTGCATCTATCATACCATACCTCGCAGCGAACGTGCAGGACATTGACAAAATGACTTAAATATGATAGAGGCTGTTTTAAATTTAGTCGAGGAGCAGCCTACTATTTCCACAAGAACAATTTCAAGGCGACTGTAGATATCACAAACCAAAGTTTGGCGGATATTGCGCGAGAATTCACTCAACCCGTACCATTTTCAAAAAGTTCGAGCTTTAGAACCAGCTGATTTCCCCAATCGTCTTGAATTTTGCAGTTGGTTCCTAAATCGAAGTGCAGCAGACCGTAACTTTATTTTTATTTTTAAAACAAAGTGCGCTGGACGGATGAACGCTGTTTTACTCGTGCTGGCATTTTAAACAGGTAAAAAACATATTACTTTCTCAAAAACAATAAGTAAACTTTGGTTATACGCACTGCATATTGAATAATAAATTGAAATACTAAAACTGTGTATTATTTAACATAATAAATTATAAAACGTTAAAACGTTAATAATATTAAAAATGATAAATTGTAATAACCGTACATTCGAAAACAATCATCCCTATTCATTACATTCAATTTTCTTTTGATAAAAGACCAACAACTTTTTGCTCTACTTTGCATGGAATACGGTCCTACTACAGTTCGTATTAGTCTAGGAGCCAGATCGGGTTCCGTTTACTAGCTATAAAAATAAACTTTTTACAGACATTTAAATATTTAATTTATTGATAACAATTAAACTGACCACTTTCAGGCTTTGCGACCAAGTTATTTGGATTCAGGAGCTCAAAATACTACGAATAAGTTGTTTGCAGCCGTGGCATTCTGGTTGGCCACTGCACCCTATCTAGCTCCTAGACTAAAGTACACGTGCAAATCAAAAGTGGGTCAGAAAGAAAGAAGGTTAATGACCTAGATACAGGTTAGCCTAGGTCGGAGACACGTACCGAGTTGTTTATTTCTCTCCGTCCGATTGTTTTTTTATCTTCTATTACTTACAGTCAATATTTAAATACTACATACATTTCACCCTCTCTTTATAATTTATCTAGTGAGTGTTGTTTTTTTTTTTTCTTTTTTTCTGTAATGAAATTGAAATGGTTATGAAATGAAATTTAAATTATTTGAACTCTTGGAGTTTTGTGACTTCAATATTAAATTTTATTTAAAGTGAAACAGAGCTAATTTCTTTGCAGCCATAATAGTCACATTTGGTCAGATGAAAACCCGCACACTACTCGTCGGTTTAACTTCCAGAGGAGATTCGGTGTCAATGTATGGGCAGGAGTATATGGCGATCGTTTAATTGGGCCGCATTTTCTACCTGAACATCTGAATGGACCGCGTTACTTTAATTTTTAGTAGAATTGTTTGAAAACCTCCTTCAGATGCTACGGGATATGTGGTATATGCACGACGGAGCTCCGGCCCGTTTTGCTCGCGATGTCCGTGGATTTTTAGACGATCAGTGTCCCAATCGGTGGATAGGGAGATGAGGGCCCATAATCCTATGGACTTTTGTATATGGGGTTATATGAAATATGTCGTGTATCACACCGAGGTAGAGAATGTAGAGCAGTTGCCGAATCGAATCGTAAGCCCGAAGGCTTACAGCAAATTAAAAATTTATCACTATGATGTTAATAAAAAATGATTTTTGGCAAGGCATGCTCAGACCTCCTCGAGGTTCTTGCTGGGCAACAATAACAATATTTTGATTGCATAATTATAAAAAATAATTTATAGCATTTTAAATTATTGTTGGCTGACGTGAGCAAACCGTTTATTTATTGTCTTTATATGAGCGAAAATATATAAATATGGCAACGTTGCATCTAGGGCGCGTTGTTCATATCGTAGCCGTGCGCAAATTGTGAATAACCATATGAGTTTATTGCGCATAAAACTATATTTCCAAACACACCGAAATCTACAGAAATAATTTTCTTACCGTGGCATAAACGCAGGGGACCGTGGCGGCCTCCTCCAGACTCCACTCCCTCGGTACGTCCCAGACGAAGGCCGCGTCGGGCTGCACCTGGAGACTCAAACCTTCGAACTCAACGACGCCCATCACCCGTTTGCCGGATCCCGTGATTCCCGCGTATTCAAAGCCGATGGTCACCTCGGGAGCGGTGGGTTCGTTAGCCTGCGGCAAACACAGTTTACCGGTAGCGACCATGACGTCTTTGAAATTCAATGACGAGTAGCAGACGTAAACCAGTTCCGATCCCGGATGGTGCCTGCAATGTAAATGTCGTCACGGAATCGGTCACCGTTGATGAATCTCTTACGTTACGTAACTCGGCGATCTCTCCACCCAACTTAGAGTCGATAGATCTCCGATGGTTAGGGTGTCGACGGTAGCGTCTTTCACGTTTCTTTTTTCGGTCGGTCGTAGAGGCTGGTGGACGAAAGTACCCCACTTGCCGTGTCTCAGTACGTTGAAGGTGAGGTCTGTGGCGAGCTGGTTTCGGTAGAATTCGCTGTCGGGGGAAAATTCCGGCGCCTTTTCGTCCTGGATTAGCACGCACCTGAACTTGGGAGTGTTGGGTTCTGTCAGGAGGCACTTCATCAACCCCACGACGCCGCTGGTATCGTCTCCTTGACTGACCAAGAATACGACTTCCTTGGAGCGTGCCTGTACCAATTCTTTGATTTTTTCCAACCAATCGAGGTTGGAATTTTTAACGTAAACTACGGAATATTTCGAAGGCATTTGCCGATACGCACGTATGATATGTATTCCAGCTGCTCCGTACACAATATTTACGTCTTTCAGTGGTATCTTACTGATATCACCTTGGTACAAGATCATGCCAGTGTCGGTCAAACGTTTCGTAGCCTTGTTTACGTCGAAGTTTTTGAGAATCGGTTCCGTGAGTAGCACGACGTCTGCGGTAGTTTTCGTGTCTTCTTCGTCGTATTTGATCTCCTGGAGTTCCACCATCGGCTGGGTGTTTACAACCTGTTTGATCTTATCTAGCAGCTTGGTGTTGTCTTCGGGAAAGGTGAATATTTTGAGGGTCTTTATGAAACCCGATACGTTTTGCAAAATTATTTGAATCGCTGCGGAAAGATTTGCGTCTGTTTCGATATCGTTGCTTTGCGACGTTTCATAAGGAAGGAACTCGTAAGTCTCAAGCAGCGGATCTTCTTGGGTGTGCTTCCTCCTTGCCACCTTGGAGGAATCCATGCCAACGATTTCTACACCTCCACATCTCAAAACGTTCATGTTCTGGTTGTAGAATATCGGTAAGTCTGAAAACGAAGAATTCAAGATAAATTTATTGTCATCATATTTTTAATACAAATAAATACAAATTTGTTTAAGCAGTAGCAAGGAAATATATATTTTTTTCGACTTACCTTGCTGTTCCGCAACCAACTCCAAATGCTTCCGAGGATCTATTACCACTTTTTCAATGGCCGTAGGCAGGAGCAAGTCTCTCTTCGTTTCCGAAATGACTGTCATGTGCAACATCGTGTCCAGGAAGCTGGTAAAATTGTCCTGCCACTTAATCTTGCCCCGTAGTCCTTCTACGTCGCACTCTACGAGTCCTTGGAAGCTTCCTTCGTACAAATACCTCCTCAAATGGCACTCTTTGTAGACGTCATCAGCCATTAACGGTACATACGCTTCCGTAGAGGTCGCTGGACAATCGGCATCGCTGTAAGCTCCCGTCACATCTTTCACTGTGTAGATCGTTCCTGTACACACTACAGAACCGCCTTCGAAGATCTCGAAGTGACCGGACTGCTTCATTAAGTTGACTAGGAACTTCACCTCTGTCCGTGGGGGAAGCACGGTCGCTCTCTTGAATATCACGTTCTCCGCAATCACCGGGAGGTTCTCCGGGTCTTTTAAGTGGAGTTGGGCCAACGTACGCCATGCCAGTTCCTTAAACATAATAAAAATAAGTCAGGTGCTTGAAGAGGTATGACGACTCGTACCAGATATCCCGTGGCTGGCATCAGCACCCTACCATCGATATTGTGGCCAGCAAGGTGGGAGTGCTGCTCGTTGGAGATGTTCACGTTTATGCTCTGTCCGAAACTGTCTTTGTGGTGCCACACAGGCACCATCCAACTCACGCCGTGGTCCCATTTGACCAGCGGGGATAGCATCTTGGTGCCTCTGCTCACGGGATAGGTGACGCCCTTGTACAGGTTCTTCAGGTTGGGCTGGCCGCCGGCCAGATATATCCTGGAACGAGTTGGAAGAGATGTTTTTTTTTTAATTAAACCAACCAAAAAAATCGTCTTTATGTTAAAAAATTTAGACGTCTCAAGGACGTGTAGGTCCATGAAATAACCACTAACTTTTCTAAGAAAAATTCAACGACTTATCGAAATATTATTCAACAAAACTCACTTTCCGATGGCGGACAAGAAGAACTCCTCGTTATCGGGACTGCTCCTGTTGGTCACCGGCAAGATCTTGACGTTGGAAGACAGCTCCCTCTTCAGGATGGCCTGCATCAAACCGTGCGGGGCCACCTCCACGACGATGGCGTTCTCGGGTATGTGATCGTAGACCTCGTCGAACAGCACGGTGTTGCAGAAGTTGTTCGTGTGGTACTCGGCGCAATTGTACCTCGTCCACGGCTCCCCCTTCTGCTTCTCGGACACCGAGGTGGATAGCCACTTGGGCGACCTCAACGTCGGGGTCTTCACGATTTTATTGACGAAATCGTAGAGGAACGGGCCGGCGTCCTTGATGTACTTCGAATGGTAGGCTAGCCCCCCCGTGTTCACCTTCTTCGCGAATATCCCCTGCGCGGTTAGCTTCTCCGCGAAGTCGGCGATCAGCTTTTCTGGACCCGAGACGGTGACGCTGCTCTTTCCGTTCTGACAGGCGATGTACGTGTCGTCGGGGAGTATTTTCAAGCAGTCCTCTTTTGAGAGAGCCACCGCGGCCATGGCTCCGGCCGGTAGCTTGACGCACTTGGAAGCGTAGCCTCGAGCGTAAGACAGCAACACCGCTTCTTCCGCGGTCAAGTGTCCGTCCGCGTACGAACAACCTACGATCAAATTACGGAAGGATTACACTCACAGTGTACGTTTTAAAGTGTAGACCTACCCACTTCTCCCAAGGAATGGCCGGCTATACCGTCAGGGACGATGCCTAGTGAGTACAACAGGTCCGTCAGGGCTATCTCTACGGCGCCGATCGCCGCGAAGCAATTGACGAAATCTTCGAACGTGTTTGGATTTTCGTTTGTCAGGATATCCTCCAGATCTACGTGGTAAGGCTTCAGGGCGACGGCGCAACGCTTGATGGTATTCCTGAAGATTTCGTTGTTCATCAGGTCTCGACCCATGCCTATCCACTGGGACCCCATACCGGCGTAGATGAACCAGATGGGCCCGGCCTTGTTGTATCTGCTCACTTCTCTCTTCGGTTTTTCCCCCAGGATTGTATATCTACAAAGAGTATTCGATACGGTGGGATATATCCAATTTTTGCCGGATATAATTTGCATAAATAATTTTTTGCTTGGATGCGACGAAATAATCATAATAAATTACCCCCTATAATTGTGACCTTCGCAGTTCATCTTGTGGACTTCGTCTACCAGGGCTAGGAATTCTTCATCGTCGGCATTTTTCTCGACCTCGTCTAGGAAGTGGTTCACCGCCTCTTCCGTCCTTCCCGAGACCTGCACCAAACGGTACTTCGGTTTTTTGTACGTTCTGGACTTTTCCCTGGGGTTGGACTTGAGCGCGACGTGCGCATTTGCCCCGCCAAACCCGAACGAATTCACAGCGACCAGTCCGCCGTCCCAGGGAAGATTTTCCGTCACTACCTAAAAAAAACAAACGGTCAATACTTTGCTGCTGCTTTGCGATTTTGCGCTTTTACCTTGATTTTCTCATCTCTCACGCCCGGTAAATCAGTGTCCACGGACTTTATGTGTAAATTGGCAGGTATTATTCCCGTTTCCATGGCTATTAACACCTTGGAGACGGAGCACAACCCCGAAGCTACCTCGGAGTGCCCCATGTTAGACTTGACGGCGCCCACCGGCAGCGGTGACTTTCTGTTCTGGCAGAACTTCGTTACTATCGCTTGCAGTTCTTCAGTATCGCCTGCGGGCGTGCCTAAGCAAATGCAAACAGTATATAAGTAATTCAGAAGCGATACATACGTTTCGCTGTCTCCCTTTCTATCTTTTCTAACTTAGTTAAATGTATATTTTACCCATTAAAGTCAAACACGTTGTGTTGACGGAATAACTGAATATATTTCTGCTGTCCCTTTACCTGAAGGGAAAGAAATTATGGAAGACGACATGGCGCTCAACGTGGGACCCGATTGAACGAATCCCTAAATGAATGTGATAGAAGACGATACTGTAGCATGATTCCCGACAAATTATGAGCAGATTAATACAGGGTGATAACTACGTTTCACGTGCGGAACATTAAAGAAATAATTAATTAGTAATTTTCTATGATCATAAGTTAATTTCGCGACTTACCCGTGCCGTGAGCTTCCACATAAGTCAACTCGTCGGGATCGACCCCATGTTTGTTGTAGATCCCATCCAACAGTTCCCCCTGCGTCCTGGCACAGGGATAAGTTATTCCCTCCAGTTTGTACCCGTCAGCACTGCACATGGCACCCGCTACGGTAGCGTAGACGCGCCTGCTGACGCTCTTCTTCTGCAACAGCAGGCTGATGATGGCCTCCCCTCTGGCGTACCCGTCCCTATCTGTGTTGAAGACCTTACACTTGCCGTCGGGCGCCAGCATGTTGAGCTTGTTGAATTCGGAGCTCTCCCCGGGATGGAACATTATCTGAGAGCCGCAGACGACGACGGCGTCCGCTTTACCGCTCCTCATGTCTTCTACGGCGTTGACGAAGCAGTACAGGGAACTGGCGCACGCATTGTCCAGGGTGTAGCTCTTGCCCTTGAAGTCGAAGCAGAAGGAAATACGGTTCGCAGCCATCCCCATGCAGAGGCCTATGTTCGTGTACCCGTCGGTGTCTTCGCGTTCTCTCATCTGTTCCGGATTGGTGAACGTGCCCAGGCCGGCGTACACCCCTGGGACACCACAGAGCGTTAACAAAAAAATTAAAAGGTGACAACCGGCAACGCTGATAGCTTACCGCGATAAAAAATATAAATAACCAACCTGTTTTGCTGCCTCGTAACTCTTGGGGGTTGTATCCGGCATCGACTATGCACTCCTGCACAGTCTCGAGGAGGATCCTGTGGCGGGGATCCAAGAATTCCGCCTGTTTCGCGTGTATCCCGAAGAAAGTGGAGTCGAACTTGTCCAGTTCCGGTACCTTACCCATCCTCGGTGGTATACCCATGACGCCTAATGTAGAAAATTTTATGTTGTGTCATAAAGTGCAGGAAAGATTTTTCAAACTCGTGAGAAAAGTTGTTCACTATACAGGATGTTCTACTTGATTAGAAATTGTAGCCCGATTGCTAAAAAACCTAACCTCAAAAAAATTAGAACTTAAAATGTAATACGTTGTAGCATAACTAGCGCCCTCTATAAAATATACAAAAAATAATTAGATCAGCGTATTAGCGTCCTTAAAAAAACCGGAATACCAAATTTCATAAAAATATTTCCCGCCGTTTCGAAATTTTCGTAAAAATTTTATTCAAAAAATTTTATTTTGTTCTGTTTCTCGAGATAGACAAAAAATTCTTATTTTTTGGCGTACTATCACCCCCTGAATTTACGGGAGGTCTTTCTGAAACACTCTGTATATTATATATTAAATATTATGCAGGGTTATTAGACCAATCATTATAGCCTTTTTTCGGAAAAAAATACTATTAGAAGTTTTTCTGCGGAATATTGACTAGTTGGGAAACTTTGTTAAAACAATGGTCAAAATTATGAAAAAGTAGTTTTTCGACTGGCGTAAAAAAATGTTATTCATAGAGAAAAAAAGGTTTATACAAAAAAGGTAGGTATTAAATAAATCTGTAAAATAAGACAAGTCCGATTAAATTCCGATAATTTGTTTATGCGCAAGAGCACAAAAATGGTCGAAATTGTCCGCTTTTTTCAATTGCTAATAATTAATGCAATTTTCATCGCAGACACTTGTAATTCAGGATTTTTGAAGCTTTTTGCACCCTTAATAAGTGGTAAAAATTTCAGCCCAAAAACTTCATTAGCTTGGCGTTGGCGGAATTTGTTATCTAAGAAGATGCTATTTTCAATTCATTTTTCCCAAGCTCACAGGCGTTGTAGGGTTTCGATCATTAGTTGTTTTTGTACCTAAATAGTTGTATTGACATATGCATTTACTGATAATTTAATTTTTCAAATTTAATTTGTTTAAAAATGACTGAAAAAATGTTAATATTTATTACATCGTTAAGCGCGCATGCTAAGCCTCGCCTTCCCCACTCGTTCGCTAGACCAAGTAATAGAACGCATCGCCGCTATCTTCTTTTTCGAAATTAAATAGTTGAATTCACCTTAATGTTAATGTAGGACATGAAAATATAGCTCTTAATGTATACTCTCTCCAAATTTCGGCTCTTAATATTAATAATTAAGGTCACTGCGATTAAATAAAAAAAAAAAATTATCTCAGCTTCTAATCAACTTACAACAACGATTTTTTTTTTAAATTCGAAGAAAACTAAAGTAAAGAGGTTACTATTTTATTTTATAATAATTACCTATCTTAACAATTTAATAAATATTAACATTTTTTCAGTCAATTTTAAACAAATTAAATTTGAAAAACTAAATTCTCAGTAAATGCCTATGTCAATACAACTATTTAGGTACAAAAACAACTAATGATCAAAACCCTACAACGCCTGTGAGCTTGGGAAAAATGAATTGAAAATAGCATCTTCTTAGATAACAAATTCCGCCAACGCCAAACCAATGAAGCTTTCGAGCTGAAATTTTTACCACTTATTAAGGGTGTAAAAAGCCTCAAAAATCCTGAATTACAAGTGTCTGCGATGAAAATTGCATTAATTATTAGCAATTGAAAAAAACGGCAATTTTCGACCATTTTTGAGCTCTTGTGCATAAACAAATTATCGGAATTTAATCGGACTTTTTTCATTTTATAGGCTTATTTAATACCTACCTTTTTTGTATAAACTTTTTTTCGCTATGAATAATAGCTTTTTTACGTGAGTCAAAAAACCACTTTTCCATAACTTTGACCACTGTTAAAACAAAGTTTCCCAACTAGCCTCGAGTTGATTTTTTGATATTTTATTTATAACAGGTTTCCGAACAATATTCCGCAGAGAAACTTCTAATAGTATTTTTTTCCCGAAACAGGCTCTTTCATGTCTATAATGACTGGGCTATATGGAGATAATCTAAATGTTTATTTAAAAAAAGTGGTAAGATATAGACTATTTTTTAATGTAAAAATAGAAGATCTGAATAACTGTTAAATAAAGAAAATATATTTTTAAAATATGCTCGCCAGATTTATATAAAACACGCCGGATCAAGTAACACTCTGTTTGAGTTTTGAATCATTGGTTTTATGTTTCGAAAGTCAAAATATGTGTCGAACATAAACAATTTCTGCCAGTCAGTGTCTTGTTTTCAAATCATTACATAAATCCCACCTAAACACTTGCCTTAGTTTTTCGTCGTGTTTCTCGTGAGAAATTACCTAGTTTGCTAACAGCAAATAATGCGAAAAGCGGTAGAAAAATCCTATTTCGAATCACTTCCCCGCTTTCTATTTAAAAACGCGCTCTTCCACAAATTGCAGTTGAGAAATTGGCGCTGCAGCGCCATCTTATCTACTGACCCCTGAACTATCACGTACCAGAGCACATCAGTAGATGGCGCTAGTGATTTCAACAGTAATCGGACAAAGATTAACTTGATATCTCTTGATTACTAACCTCGGGGAAACCTCGTATCTTCGTCGGTGACGAGATCCACACCGTTCAGCAGGGCCTCCATCAGCTCCTCTATGTTCTTGCACTCCGGATATCTCCCTGATATTCCGGAAATGACGATTTCCTCGTTGGTTTCCATAGCTTCGTGCGTCTGTGCGAAAAGGGAGATCATTTTGTGAGTAATGTTACTTCCCATTAAAAAATTTAGGGGTTGTACNTTTTTTAATGTAAAAATAGAAGATCTGAATAACTGTTAAATAAAGAAAATATATTTTTAAAATATGCTCGCCAGATTTATATAAAACACGCCGGATCAAGTAACACTCTGTTTGAGTTTTGAATCATTGGTTTTATGTTTCGAAAGTCAAAATATGTGTCGAACATAAACAATTTCTGCCAGTCAGTGTCTTGTTTTCAAATCATTACATAAATCCCACCTAAACACTTGCCTTAGTTTTTCGTCGTGTTTCTCGTGAGAAATTACCTAGTTTGCTAACAGCAAATAATGCGAAAAGCGGTAGAAAAATCCTATTTCGAATCACTTCCCCGCTTTCTATTTAAAAACGCGCTCTTCCACAAATTGCAGTTGAGAAATTGGCGCTGCAGCGCCATCTTATCTACTGACCCCTGAACTATCACGTACCAGAGCACATCAGTAGATGGCGCTAGTGATTTCAACAGTAATCGGACAAAGATTAACTTGATATCTCTTGATTACTAACCTCGGGGAAACCTCGTATCTTCGTCGGTGACGAGATCCACACCGTTCAGCAGGGCCTCCATCAGCTCCTCTATGTTCTTGCACTCCGGATATCTCCCGGATATTCCGGAAATGACGATTTCCTCGTTGGTTTCCATAGCTTCGTGCGTCTGTGCGAAAAGGGAGATCATTTTGTGAGTAATGTTACTTCCCATTAAAAAATTTAGGGGTTGTACCTGCCATTCGAAGGGGGTTGAATTTAGGGATGAAATTTTTACGTTGCAGGATGTTATTTCAGAAGCCAAAATCGACCTGTCTCGGGATTTTTTATAAATATACACAATAATTGAGATACTGAAATTATTCCATTTGGCTGTTCCACACTGTATAATAACAATAAGTGACAGTAATTTTTTTTTCAACCCCCGACCAGGGATGAAAAAGATAAAATAAAGGAGTTTTTCAAGATAACTCAAAAGAGGTAAGAGCTGAAAAATCATATTAAGCACAAAAATGGATGAATTTTATAATTTTTTTTTCAATCTACTCTAAAAAATGTAACCTTTCTTTTCAGAGAAATAGATGTTTTTTAATTTTTAATAAAAAAATAATAACAATTTAAATTTTTTAATCGTTAATTTTTATGATTTAACACTAAAACAATTTTTTTTTATGTCATTGGATTGATTATTTAAAATAATGAAAAATCGCTTTCGAAATTTTATGTTACCAGAAAAATAAAAAAATCACGTTTGCTTTGTGAAATTGTTATAACTTTTTTATTCAAAATTATAAAATATATCTATTTCTCTGAAAAGATAATTTAGGTTCATTTTTTATAGTAGCTTGGAAAAAAATATAAAATGCATTCATTTTTCTGCTTATGATTTTTTAAATTTCTGAAATCATCCCTTAACTTCGAGTCTCCCTAACTCTGTTAATTTTAATAGTACAAGAAAAAGTCAATCGACCATTTTTATGTAGAATTTTATGCTCTACAACTTTTATAAGAAATTTTTTTTCTAGCTCTTACAGCTTTTGAGTTATCTTGAAAAACCCTTTTATTTTATATTTTTTATATTATATTAATTGCTGTCACTTATTATTATTATTATTATTATATACCTCAAACTTATATTAAAAATTCGGGCAGGTTGGCCAAAATTGCGATATAAAGGCCCATGTAATTGAACTAATTCACCTAGAATCAGAAGCTAAATTTCTGTGATTTCGTATTTTGCAACTGACAGAACAATAAATAAAATGGCTTCGGTTTTTAAAGAATAGTAAGTATACATAAATAATTTCTAATAATTAATAAATGATTATCACATAATTTCACGACATTTGGAATGAAGTTGTAAGGAGAAACATGTTATTGTTTTCTGAATGAATGAATAATAATTATTTGCTCATTATTGTATAGTCCTTCCGAAGCTAGTTGAATATGCAAAAAAACGTCTGGTAATAAAATTTAATGAGTTTCATAGGCGTCCCTTAAAAAATTTTCTGCTGAGGGTAAACCACATATTTTAATTATTTATGTCCTCAAACAATTTTATTATGTTGGTGGTAAATTTGGTTTTGTTCCGTTTCAAAAGGTCTCCAAAATGCCATGTTGTGATAATATCAGTAAACAAAATGTCCCTCTTATTTCTCCCTTTCACAATTGTAATATGAATAATTAATAGAAGATAGGTACCTAAAATAAATTAAAATTGCCCGATTCACACCAAATTCCGCACTGGTGCACTGCACTGCTGGGTAATTTATGAACCACTTGTCGCCTGCTGTGATTTATTGCCCAGAAGCCCAATAAAACTGTGCTCGTTTTCCTTTGGCCGCGCTCGCATTCTTCAATTGGTCGTATACATTTCTACCATCTCCACGTTTAATTCGACCAAACCTGTATATGGGCATGGCTAAATAAATATGGGAACAAGTTTTTCAAATATTTCAATGCCGATTTGCTGCGTCAGCGACCGAACTTGGTACATACTATCAATATGTTGGTTCTTCAATTGATATCTGAAAAACTATACTTGCAGTTGCTAATAATTAGCATCCCATTGGAAGAAAATATTATTACTTTTTTATAAATATATTCTCTCATTATTTAAAAGATGCAAAAGACAACGCATTTTATTAATGTAATTATGAAAAAAAAATTAAACATTATTTTATGTTCTACAACGCTGTAGCTAGCTGAGTTTCATTTGTGTCCAATATCTCAAATGTTGCCAAAAAATATAGAAACGCTGCTAATAATTCTGATTCATGGTGAGTGTCCCATGGATATAAAATAAATTCGAAATATCTCCATCAGAATAATTATTTTGCATATTTCTCTCAAGCAAATACTTCCACGGTACATATATTTTTAGGCTTTATAAAATATTTAGAAAATCAGGAATCATATAACTACATATTTATTAAATAAAGTTCAGTTAAAAATAGTGTCGTTTTTTTAATTGGAAATTAGGAGTCAATGTAACGAATAGCCTCAGGCGACGCACATGATAGAATAGTCCAATCCACGCTCCATTCATAACAGGGCTGCAGTTTGAATTCTGACCAATAGGAATTCGATGAACGCAACCGATGTCGACGGATGGACTAGAGATGGGCGCGAGTGTCATTTCATTTCTTTAGAACTAAATTAACTTAATTATTTTCTCGTTGTTTTACGGATTTTAAATAAAGGATACAAATCTTCGCGAGGATAATACAATATATTTGCTATACATAATAATTATATTTTTGCTTAGTTTACACACAAAACATTTTTGAACGCGTACGCATCTTTACCCGAATTTGACCTAATCTTCGGGTTAAAGACACACATTGTCCGCTCTCTACCAATTATAGTCTGTTTGGAAATGAAAGAGAGCAATAAAACCCCGAGATAACAACCGGCCATGGGCCTGGTAATATTTCGTTTCAGGTAATTATCGGGTAACACTAATGCTAACAGGTAATGGGTGTACATTAGTATATTTTACTGGATACATCATAGGGCAGGAGCCAGTGTATTGTGACAGATCAATCCAGTCTTAGAGCTGAATATACGAAGACGTGCTAGTGCAGTAGAGTAAAATTCGACTTGTGTTTAGTGACTATTGTGCCAGTGGATATAATATTGTTTGGGTAAAATGTCGAGCTTATCAGATTACGTACCTGCTAAACGCGTGAAAAGATGTGCGCTGTCTCAGAATGAGAAGATTATTATATTAAATGTATTTAATGCATTGAAACACCAAAATCCTACCAACAGTGTTGACGACATCGTGGAAAAGTGTTCCAAAATGACAGGGATTGGAAAATCGACTATCTACAGACTTTTAAAGGAAACAAAAAATGAACAAGATACTGTAAATCCCCCAAAATCATCTACAGGGAGGTCAAAAGTCGTTATAGATGATTTCTTCAAAAATGTCATTCGCAGAAAAGTACACTCATTTTATTTTAAAAAAGAAATACCAACGCTAAACAAAATTTTAAGTGAACTTTCAGAGGACAACGATTTGCCAAAAATCAGTAGAAGCAAATTATGGGCCGTCTTACGAGAGTTGAATTTTTGCTGGGAAAAGCAGAACAGGAAGTCAGTTCTTATCGATAAAGATGAAATTATTTGTTGGCGAAGATCCTACTTAAGATCAATTAGAAAATTCCGTGACGAAGGGAGGAATATTTATTATCTAGACGAAACTTGGGTCAACGAGGGATATACTGTAACAAAAGTATGGCAAGATAAAAATGTAAAAAGTTTTCGACAAGCATTTTTGGATGGACTTTCAACAGGGTTCAAGGCACCTTCAGGTAAAGGGCGAAGATTAATAGTGACACATATAGGTAGTGCCAGTGGTTTTGTAGATGGCGGTTTACTTTTATTTGAATCTAAAAATACAGGTGACTATCACGAAGACATGAACGCAGATGTTTTCGAAGAGTATTTTACACAGATGTTGGATCTTATTCCTCCGGGGTCTGTAATTGTCATGGATAATGCCAGTTACCATTCACGGCAGACCGAGCGGACGCCTACGACTGCTTGGAGGAAAGCCGATATAATTCAATGGTTATCCGGAAAAAACATTTCTTTTGAAACAAATATGGTGAAAAAGGAACTTTTGACACTTGTCAATCTTAATAAAGATCAGAAAAAATATGTTATCGATGAAATGGCAACAAATCGCCAAATAACGGTACTACGGTTACCACCTTATCACTGTGAACTTAACCCAATCGAATTAGTCTGGGCGCAGGTAAAAGGAGATGTAGCGCGAAATAATACGACGTTTAAATTAAGTGACGTGAAAATTTTGTTAAAAAATTCCTTGGAACGAGTAACTGCAGATAACTGGCAAAGATGTATACATCATGTACAAAAAGAAGAGGAGAAAATGTGGGAACTCGATAATTTAATTGACGTTACTGTGGAACCTATCGTTATCAATCTAGGAGACGAAGATAATTCATCAGAATATTCAGAGGATGAATTTTAATATACCTACTTTTTTATTTTCTTTATTGTACATTTATACAACACTACATTTACTCACCATAATTTGAATTTTCAAAATACATATATTTTTGTGTGGAATAAAAGTCTATTCATTAAATTTAAATAAATATTTTGATAATAATATTGAATAATTTTATTTGAATTACTAAAAACCCTCTTAACCCGGTTATGATGCTTAAAGTAGCCTCATGTTTTGAAATGCTGTTTTTATATTGTTTACTTATAAGAGAAATGGACCGAGAAATTGAAGCGGCATAGACAAAGACGGATTGTCGGGGATTAAATTTTAGCTACCTGCTACAATTTAGTACAGTCCGATCGCACAAAGTTTTGTTAAAAGTACACCTCATCTATACCGAAAATGCATAATATAAAAATATTGAATATAAGCACCAGTACTACATTTATTTATGATTTGCATACCTAATGAGCTTTTATTACTCTCTTTCATTTCTAAACAGACTTATAGGTATGCGTTTTATAAGATGTATATGTATAGAGCGTACATATGGTGTTATAAACAGTAAGGGTTCGAGTGAAGTGTAAAGGAGAATTTTTTAATTTTTTGTTTCTTGGAAACTAGGTTAGACTGTACAAAAATATTACAATTCATATTACAATTGCGAAAGGGAGAAATAAGAGGGATATTTTGTTTACTGATATTATCACAACGTGGCATTTTTGAGACCTTTTGAAACGGAACAACACAAAATTTACCACCAATATAACAAAATTGTTTGAGGACATAAATAATTAAAATATGTTGTTGGCCAAATGAACATATAATAGAAATTTTCTACACATTATATACAAATTATTATAATTTTTTACCTTTTTTTTTAGGGACGCCTATGAAACTAATTAAATTTTATTACCAGACGTTGTTTTGCATATTCAACTGACTTCGGAAGGACTATACCATGAAATATAAAAACCAAACAAATTGTGAGGTTGTTTTATTTGTTGTGCGTAAAACGAGAAAGAACTCCACTTCTCAAAGAATTCTCGGCATAACACCCAGTATTTTTTTTTTGGTTTAGTAAATAATTAATAACAATACACATCGGAATTGCGTTTATTTTCGACATACACCTTGTCGAAGTCAAAAATCGCACGTTCCGTTCTTTTACATACCCCAAAACAAATTATAAGTAATCGCCTCCCTGTCCTGCAGCACTTTAACGATATATTTCAACCGAAGACTTGAAAAAATTTGTCCGCGCCAAGCTAAGATGGTGTAGAGTGGCGTACTAACTACACTTTTCGTAATTATAATATGTAAAACGACACTACGGAAGTTTACTGGTTATTACCGACGCCATAAATATTCACAAATCCCCACCTATTGACGTGTAAAAAAATTTTAGATTTTCTATTTTTCGTGACGCAAACCAATTTTCAACTGATATTCGGCGCCCTACTCTTTATTAATCTTTTTCTACTTTAAAGCTTTTTTTCTCGAAAAAAAACCGTAGATCAACACATAAAATTCACCAGAGTACCTTAACGTAGGTATAATAGGTATTAAGTATAACGTGAATCTTTTTAATTCCAATTCATTCGTTTTTAAACGGGCGTTTAAGCGAAAAACAGAGAATTGAAATTTTAATTGTGATTGGATATGATCTATCTATCTAAAAAGAAGAACGGTAAGCGAAAATGACCGTCAAAATGTGATCGCCGTTACTGAAAATCCTCACTCAATACAGTCCAAGAGCTGACGACGAATTTAGCGAATGTATTTTAGGCAAGTTGAAATAATAAAAAATAGTATTTCATCAATTGGTGAATTTGGCATTTGGCTTCATTGTCTTACGCTCAGGGGCGTATATTTTTCTATGATAAAATTGTTACAATTATTATTAATGATTGCTTATTATTTATTACATGTTAAAATATGTATATATTGTCGTGACTGCCCGGATATTGCAATAACAACTCATTTGTTTCACATTTAACTTGTTTTATCATGATTAGGTTGTTCTTTGATTTCTTGTGCTCACTTTATGTCATACGTCTATACGAGCCTTGTTGAGTTTACTAACATTTTCGCCCGTGCGGAACGAATCTGGATTAAGCTCGATTGCCTCCCGTATGGGACTCCAGTGTTATGAAGGATCTTCCGAAATCTCAACTATAGCTGGATTGCCTCCCGTATGGGACTCCAGTACCTTCCGGCTCTGCCGGCTAACTAACACCAAACCTCTTCAGTTTTACTTGGAAGTGTGTATGTCTAATTCGAGTGAGGTGACATTTAGTGACACATTAAATAAGTCAGGTCTTAATTGTCATTAGCAAAGGATCTTAATGTATGCCTTTTGTTATCGGTTGTTTTGTATTTATATTTGGGTAGTTAGAGCAACGATCGTGGGTTTCTCTGCCATGCTCTTTTCCCACAGGAGCTCTAGGTGAGCCTGGCACTCTCATTTTATGTTAAATGGTTGTTAATGTTTTTGTTGTTCTTTCTATTTGTCACATGTTTAACTTCAAGTGTACGTAAATAATAAAGTTAGGTGTATTTACTCTGCTTTTGTTTTATAAAATTAAACCATACTTCCCCTCTTTAAAGTTAGTAGCCAACGCCTTCCGGTCAATTAAAAAAATAGATGTATACAACGTCGGGATTCCTTATGACGATCACATATTCCAGGCCACAACTACGTTTATTTATTTTTTTTTATAGAATCCGGAGTTGTTATATTACAACATTTTTTGCTAAATCCCATGTACATTGTTATCAACAATAAATTATCTACAACAGATGATTTTTTGTAATGTTTTTAAAAAACTAGATTAATTAAAAAAGACCAGGAAGCTGTGTTATATTTATTGGAATAAAAAATACACTTGATAAATGCTTTTAATATATTTAATGGTTTATAAAAACATCGTAATCATTAACCAGCAATATTTAGGGTTAGATAAAGTTTTCTTTACTTGATTGATATAATTAGTAATACTTGAGGTAAATGCAGTTGTACGGAATAACAAAGGAACATAAATATTTCTCAGCAAACTTTATATCTAAAAAATTTGTTATAGTTGCAAAACTTTTGTAACATTACTAAAACAGAGATTAAAAAGACGAACAGTGAGTAATAATGTAATTTCTGTCACAGAACCTTCAAAATTGCATCCAACATTTTCTTTGACATGGACGAGAGATGGGCGCGAGTGTCATTTCACTTCTTTAGAACTAAATTAAAATAATTCTCGTTGTTTTACCAGTTCACATGATTTACGAATTTTAAATAAAGGATACAAATCTTCGCGAGGATAATACGACATATTTGGTATATGTAATAATTATATTGTACATAGTTTACGCACAATACATTTTTGAACGCGTACGCATCTTTACCCGAATTTGACGCGCAATATCTCCGATGTCCGAGGTATGTAGGTTCGCAGTGTGTACAACTGCTAGTCAATTATTAGCGCTGTTGCCATATCTACATACTCTTTATGAGTTAATTAAATATAATTTAAAACTACTTAAATATGATATTTTTATGTTGTTAATTAGTCAATATGATTGTATGCTATGTGCATATGAGTAGATTTATTTGCTATATAGATAGTGTTTATCGCAAATAATTTCAATAGAATACAATTTTTTCAGATTGGCAGCAGGCTTTAGTCAGATAAGAAAAACATAGGACCCCCCTGCGCTCCTCACTTCCCTCGGACCCCGATATACCTCCTTAAAAATGTTCTAAAACCTAAACTATTGCATGCAGTAATTGCAGTATCAAAATTGGCTTTAACTTTGAAAAAACTCGTGAACGGCAGTCGCTCCACGAACTTGAACTTGCCGTAGTATGTAAATTTATATTATAAATTATGGTTTGTTATAAATACATTGTAAAGTCAAACACAATGGTATTAATATTTGTATGACATTTGACACGAATTTCATTAATACGAATAACACTCTGTCATATAGATAATAGTTGAAACCTTTTGTTTCACGGATAATCAAAAATAAAAGAGGCTACATTCAATATAACGATTACATTTATTTTAAAATGTAAATTTCAGTCTCCTCAATTATACGTTTAATTCTTTCTTGCTTCGGAAGAGCGTCATTATCAATCCACCGCTAGAGGTCGCTGCAGACCCTTTGATAGGTAAATCTCTAGTCGAGAATTGGAAGAAACCAAGACGGACAGAAGTAGGTTGCCTACAAACTTTGATTTTGAGTTGTCCAATGGCATTGCAGCAATTCTGAGGCAGGAATATGTACGTCATCGGTATTATAATTTGAATTCCATTGTCTAACTGCTAGACCGATCAAAATAACTCATTTACTTTAGAGAAAAAAAAAAGAAAATTGTATCTTGGACTTTTATAAGTGGAAATGGTAAAGGGGCTCATAATAAACGAAAAAAAAAAATAAATGCGTGAGCAGGGCGGCGGAGGGTTGATTTGGGGGGTGGAAAAGTTATGAAAAATTGTATCATTGGGATTTCTGGCGAAAGTCGACGTCAAACAAAAAAGTAACCAATACAAAAGTTGTAGATCATGCAAAAATCTACATCTTTTGTAGAGGTCATTTTTTAACATAACCTCAAAATTTCCGAGAAAAATGCGAAAAACAGTTTTTTTTTCTGATTTTTCGTTTTTTATTTCTCATTTCCGCAAAAATAATTTAATTTTGACGAAACTTGGTGAAAGTATACCTTTCTCTGTCTTAAATAACCTCAATTTTTTTAGATAAAAAATCAAGAAGTTTCTGAGATATTAATTTTTTTTTGGCCTGAAACACTTTTTTTGAAAGAAAAATTCTACTTAAAAAAATCTTCGTACAGAGTTCTGCCGGCAATCATATTTTCGTTTTGACATACTTTTTAGTGAAATAAAAAAATTTGTAATCGTAGTTCAAAAACATGCTCAAAAATGTAAAAATGTAAAAAATGACTTGCAACAATGAATTTTTCAGTACCTAATTGTTGATAATTTGTTTAAAAAAAAATCAAAAACTGATTACACCATTCAATTGTACGTAAAAAATAAAAAAAAACTGTCATTGTTTGACCCAAAACTATTTTTGTACAGTATTGCTATAAACATAAGTCGAATAGTGCATAAATAAAGAAAATAATATTTTTTTTTCCGTAGGATCAATTAGTGTACTTATTTTTTTTTAAAGTTTGATGAATTTGTGGCTCAGATTAGAAAAAAGTTGTGTTTCTTTATACCTAACAATATGCTGTTTAGAAAGTTTTAAAATTCCGGGTAGATCCGAAGATATCCGGAAAAACCCGAAATTTTGCAAAATTGTTTAATTTTTTTCTGTCTTTATTTGAAAACGAAATTTAAAATAAATTACATATATACAATGCCACTTTTTCGCTCTATACAATGGCGTCAACATTTTTGCAATCCGACGTTGCGTCTTCGAGGGGCCATCATCGGGTTAATTTTTTAAATAAGTCGCTGCTATTTTTATGACAAAATCTAGTCATTTTTAATTCTGAATTAGAGGATATTACTACTGTAAAAAGTGTTTAGCTTGTTTTAGGTATAATTTAAAATTTTTCCTGAGTACGGCTCTGAACGCTTTCAAAATATCTATTGGATGAAGTCATAACAGTATAAAAGTCAATACCGCACAAAATATCCAACAATTTTCTACTACTATTAGCAATACTAATTAGAAATAAAAAATATTTCATAAATTCGTATTATGTTTTTATTAGGTACGACTTTTTAAATTATGGATTAAAAAAATTGTTGGATATTTTGTGCTGTATTGCTACATTTTTTTTTTAATGCTACATTTCTAAAACAATTTATTTGGTTTAATAATAATAAGTATAAAACATGACAAAATTTGTGCCTGTTGTATTGAATTTTTTTGCAGCTATTATTTATTTATAAGAGGGAAATAAAATGTCGTTTCATAGATAAAATATAATCCGTTATATTCTCGAATGTCCTGTTATAATAAATTAGAACTAAGTGGTGATAATTATCACTTAATATTTTTAATCTCATTATTGTTAATCAATTTTTTAAGCTTCTATTTATCGAACCCTTCATACTTTTGTTTAAAATTCTAAAAAATGTGTATCCTATAATCTCAGACACTCGAAACTTGTTTAACATAACAAAATTAATATGTCTATAAAATAATACCATTTACAATACATAATTACAAATCGGCTGTGGACGCTGTATTGTATGCAGAATGAAAAGTACCCAATTTGCAATTTAAACGTACCTACATATTCTAATAAACTTCCTGCGACATTTGTTTAAATTCAAATTTTCTTT